AATTGAATACAAAAATCAGATTAGATTTGTGTGTCTATTTCTCTTCTATCCCTTCTACAAATATTTAGTTTCTGCAGAGAATTTTTTAGATTTGATTCCTAAGCTTTTTTTTCGGTCCTTCCTTCACTAAACAAGGGTAAAATAACCAACATAAATTGGTTTCAGAGCAACTGGTTGAAGAAAAAAACTAGGAAATTCATTTGAAGAAATTCTTAGGGCCAACACAAATTCAAGTATCTTAGATATTCCTGTCTTTGATGGTGAGAACTATGATTTTTGGAGTGTCAAAATGAATACCTTTTTTATTTCACAAGATCTATGGGACTTGGTTGAATTAGGTTTTACAGAGCCCGAATCCACTACAAACATATCTGAAGTTGAAGTAAAGGTGTTGAGGGAGAATATACAAAGGGATGCCAAGGCCGTTAACCAAATTCAAAAGGGAGTTTCTAACTCCATTTTTCCAAGAATCATGAGAGCAACAAGATCCAAACAAGTTTAGGAGATTCTTCAACAAGAGTACCAAGGAAACTTGAAGGTGAAAACCATCAAACTTCAAAACTTTCGAAGAGATTTTAAAACCATGAAAATGAAGGAAAACGAAACTTTAAATGATTTTTCAACCAGATTTTCAGAACTTGTAAACCAAATGAAGACTTATGGGGAAGACATTAGTGATGTAAGAATTGTTGAGAAGATCTTAATAAGCCTACCAAAGAAGTTTGATGCGATAGTGGCGGTTATTGAAGAAACCAAAGACATTTCCAAGCTAAGTATTCAAGAGTTGATGAATTCCTTAAAATCCTATGAGCAAAGATTGAGTCGTCGCTTTGAAAAGTCACTTAAGAGTGTGTTTCATTCCAAACTTAATTTCAACCTCAAAAATGCTGAAAAGAAATCATCAATTCATGAACATGGCAAAGGAGAATCGTTTAAAGGTGGAAGACAAGGAAGAGGAAGGGGTAGAAATTGGGGAGGAAGAGAAAGATACTCCATCGAAAGGAAATTCAATGATGAAAAGTCTTCACAAAGGTGTAACATTTGCAAAAGAAGCAGCCATGTTGAGAAGGATTGTTGGTTTCAAGGAAAGCCGCAATGTCACAATTGCAAGAGATTTGGTCATGTACAAAAAGATTTTCGAATCAAGAAAAATCAAAAAGCAAGCTTCACGGAAGAGAAGGAAGGTGAAAGAAATTTGTTTTATGCATGTCAAGCCGCTATCGAAAAGAAGAATGATGTGTGATTTCTCGATAGTGATTGTAGTAATCATATGACTAGCAACAAAAGTATCTTTATTGACATAGATACATGCATCAATTCTCAAGTAAAAATGGGTAATGGAGCTCTTGTTCAAGCTCAAGGCAAAGACACCATTGGAATTGAAACAAAGAAGGGTACTAAGTTCATTCGGGATGTGCTTCTAGTTCATAACTTGGAACAAAATTTGCTTAAGTGTTGGACAACTTGTTGAGCATGGATATTCAGTCCATTTTAAAAATGATTTTTGCGTTATTTATGATGAAAGGAGATCAAGGCAGATTGTTTCAAAGTTAAAGATGGAGAAGAATCGAAGCTTTCCACTTACTTTTAAGTATATGGGTGATGTTGCTTTGAAGGCACAAATTCATGATAAATCTTTGTTATGGCATCGAAGACTTAGGCATTTGAATTTTCACAATCTCAAACTACTTCACCAAAAGCAAATGGTTGAAGGGTTGTCCATTATTGAAGAAAGCAATGAAGTTGCGAAAGATGTGTAATTGGGAAGCATCATCGACAACCTTTTCCAAAAGGAGTTGCATGGAGGGCAAAACAAGTGTTGGAATTAATTCACACCGACATATGCAGACCTATGAGTACACTATCTCATGGTAACAATTACTATTTTATTCTCTTTATTGATGATTTTGCTCGCATGACATGGGTTTATTTCATGAGACAAAAATCTTAAATTTCATAGTTTTCAAAAAATTCAAGAGTCTTGTTGAGAAACAAAGTGGCTTGTTTATTAAGTGTTTGAGAAGTGATCGTGGAAAAGAATACACTTCAAGAGAGATTAACAAATTTTGTGAAGAAGAAGGCATGGAAAGACAACTTACAGTTGGTTTTACTCCACAACAAAATGGGGTATTCGAAAGGAAGAATCAAACAGTGATGGAGATGGCAAAATCAATGATTCATGCAAAAGGGCTATCAAAATCTTTTTTGGCTGAAGTTGTATATGATGCAGTATATTTGAATAATAGGTGTCCTACCAAGGCCGTTTGGAATAAAATTCTATTTGAAGCATAGAGTGGGAGGAAGCCATCGGTGAGGCATCTCAAGGTGTTTGGATGTGTTTGCTATGCTCAAATTCCAAAGGAGAAAAGACGCAAGCTTGATGAAGCAAGTGAGAAATGCATTTTTGTTAGCTATAGTTCAAAGTGCAAAGGTTACCGGTTGTATAGCTTGAAGACTAAGAAAGTTATTATTAGCCGAGATGTGTTGTTTGATGAAGATGCTACATGGAATTGGGAGGAGGAAAAGGTAGAAAGGAAGACTGTTTTTATTGATGTTTAGCAACAAAAAACAACAAGTGAAGTTGAAAATAATGGTCAAGAATCAGTCCCTTCATCTCCAAGTTTAATTCCACCATTATTTCCAACAAGTTTACGAAGTAGTTCTTCAAGTTCAAGCTCTTCTTCACCCACTTCAACTCCAAGGAAAATGAGGAGTTTTGACTGATATTTATGAGAGGTGCAATTTTTGTTAAACAAGATTGTGTTGAAGAAGCTATGAAAGAAAAATCTTGGAGGCATGTTATGAATGAAGAAATTGAAGTGATTGAGAAAAACAATACTTGGCAACTTGTGGACAGACCTACAGACAAAAAAATCATTGGAGTGAAGTGGATTTACAAGGTGAAATTCAACTTGGATGGTTCGATACAAAGGAACAAGGTAAGGTTGGTTGCCAAAGGCTACTCACAACAGCCCGACATTGATTACAATGAAACTTTTGCCCCTGTTGCAAGACTTGATACCATTAGAGCTCTCATTTCATATGCAGCACATAAAGGATGGGTGTTGTATCAAGTTGATGTAAAATTAACATTCTTGAATGGAGATTTGTAAGAAGAAGTTTATGTCGAACAACCTCAAGGGTATGTTATTCAAGGTGATGAAGAGAAGGTGTACAAGCTAAACAAGGCTTTGTATCGACTGAAACAAGCACCGAGAGCATGGTATAGTCAAATTGATGGATACTTCAACAAGAAGGGATTTTTAAGAAGTAAGAGTGAGCCTACCATGTATGTAAAGAAGCAAGGTATGATTGATTTCTTGATTGTTGCCATTTATGTTGATGATTTGGTTTTATATCAGAAACAATTTAAAGATGATTGAAGACTTCAAAAATGATATGCTGAAAAATTATAAAATTAGTGACTTTGGAATTTTATATCATTTTCTTGGCATTGAAATTTAACAAGAAGAGGATGAAGTTTTTATTGTTCAAAAGAAGTATGCTGAAAATATTCTCAAGAAGTTTGGAATGCAAGAATGCAAACCCGTAGCAACTCCACTTGTTGTTAATGAGAAGCTACTTAAAGATGGTGGCGCAAAGAAGATGGATGCAACTTTGTATCGAAGTATTGTTGAAAATTTACTTTATCTCACAACAAGGCCAGATATCATGTTTGCTACAAGTTTACTTTCAAGGTTTATGCGTTGTCCAAGTCAAATTTATCTTCGCGCAACGAAAAGAGTGTTGCGTTATTTTCAAGATACAACAAATTTTGGAGTTAAGTACAAAAGAAATGTGCAGCTGAAACTCGTTGGCTATCCAAGAAACAACAATTAATCAGTTGCCCAATCATCAACGGAAGCGGAATATGTTTCAGCAGCTCTTGCAACTTCTCAAGTTATTTGGTTGCGAATAATTCTTGAAGATATTGGTGAAAAGCTAGAAGAAGGTACTCAGGTTTTCTGTGACAGCAAATCAGCCATTGCTATGGCTAAAAATCCAGTTTTTTAATGCCGTACTTGTCATATTGCAATTAAGCATCCAACTCGAGTTTTGCACGTCGGATGATCAAGTGACTGACATTTTTACAAAGGCACTTCCAAAGGAAAAGTTCCAGCATTTTCGAGAAGCATTGGGAGTTGAAGAACATCACATTAAGGGGGAGAATTTTAATTAATAAGATGTTATTCTTCCAACTATTTCTTATATTTTCTATGTTAGCTTAATATTTGTCTTTTAAGCTTCTCAAGTTGTTAGCAAATTAATTATCTTGTAATGGGTATTGAAAAAGATATATATAGCTTGGTGTAATCTGCTGGAATAGTTAAGAGAGAACTGAATACAAAAATTAGTTTAGAGTTGTGTGTCTATTTCTCTTCTACAAAGATTTAGTTTCTGCAGAGAATTTTTCAGATTTAATTCCTAATCTTTTTTCCCAGTCCTCCTACACTAAACAAGGGTGAAATAACCAACAAAAGGAAAAGGAAAAAGTACAAACTGAGTCATAATGGAACTACAAACAAATATGGCAAGTATTAGTTTATTATTAATATTCCAAAACTAGCTATGTGAATTGAATAAACAAAGCACAGACCCTATCAGAATGCAACTACTATATGGAAAGTATTAGTTTATTTTATTAAGATCATACTTTCCTAATTTGGCTATGAAAATAAACAAAAACATACTCCATCCCGCATAAATAAATAATTCACACGCATTGAAACTCCTTTTCGTATTTAAACAATCAGCACAGTGATTACAAAGTGATAGCAAACCCTTAAAAACCCTAATCCCATTTGCATCATATACAAACACATCCGATTATCCATATATTATTCACTTTAAACATGAGACTCAGGCAACATCCAACTACTAGAACACACTTTGCAAGTTCAACCAGCGGGGGAGCTGAATCCCTTGTTTTTATTATCAAATCCCAAAACACACCTGTGCTTAAACATTTTCAGAAGTATGATACTCGGAATAAAGGAGCATCACTTATCTCCAAACAAGTACCCGAGAGATGAATCTCCACCTGGAACGGATTTAACCTTGGTTGATGGACGACCCTGAAAAAGATTGATTTAGGTCAACAGTTTTTTTAAAGATAAAGGTGTAATTACATGCTAATTGTATTTGTAACTCACAGTAATGAAGTTTCCTGAATTCTGGCCTTGAGATCTGTGATAATTGTTGGAGACATTTTCTTCCTTGGGAGGAGGAGGGGGGGGAGGTAGTGGTGGCTTCTCTGTATCGATTCCATATGGTGGTGCGTAAACCTTTGGCGTGGTGGGAGGTGCAGTACTTTGTTGGGGATCATCAGTGCCAAAAAGGTAGCCCAAGGAGCTCTGACCACCTCCATAGCTCCCACCTCTACTCATGGCTGCCCTTCAGAATCTCTTTATCAGCTAAGTTGAAGGATGGGGAAGAAAGGGAGATAGGTCAACTATATATATATAATAATGCGACCATGTAAATATGTATGAATCTCTGTGGATGATGATGACGGTAAGATGCCACGAGGACATTTTTTAAACGACAAGGAACCTTTTCAAGTTAGGGCCGAATTGGATCCATTCCCATAGATCTCGGATATTTGCAATCAGCTCTAAACACAGATAATTGCAGTGGTAAGATACGGTCATCACTTTTCATTGTGAAAACGGTCCTTATGAGGAACATCGGTGACATTCTGATGTCCATGTGAGAATTGGTTATCTAGTGTGTTCATCAGCTTTAATGCATGGATGGATATTCAATACACATGAATCATTTCGGGTAATCCAAATGGAGAAACATAAGTGCTTTCTTCATGCTCATGTTTGTTGATTAACAATAATTTTCTTTATCATAGTAATGAGTTTTGAACTACTAACCCCCCCTCACTTGTCTTGCCAAAATTCAACCAGTTATGATACAATGACTTCGATTAGTCATAATTAGGGACATTTCTTGTTTGTTAGTTGAATCATAACCTTAAACTTGCTCTTCGACCAAACATATATAAGAACTTTCGTGGTACATTGTTTTCCCATGGCATCCATGTAATATTTCAACCATACAGCTTGATGAAAAGTCGGTTTTCATAAGGAAGTATATAGTGATCCTGTATATAAGTTTCTGATTTGTCTACTAAACCTAATTGATATGGTTGTTTTGGGCTTAAACCATTGGTTCCCTCTTCTTCAAAGGATTAGAACCACAGCATTTCTTTTACAAATTGAATTAAAGAATAATGTATGATATTTAACTAGAGGCTGTTTTTTCTATATTTTTTGGTAATTAGGTTATTTTTTCTTGACAAAGAACACGTTTTACACTATGATATTTCTGCCAAAATCGTACTTGCATTGAGGGAAAAAAAAAGCAAAATGATAAATAATGTAGGACAAGTTACCTAAAATGATCTCATGAATGAAGTAATCATGTACAGATGCCTGATTCTTTATATTTGCATCAATGAACATACATAAATATGTATTCACATGTGTTTAAATGTGTTGCTACTAATGCAAAACTTGCATCCAAAATAATGTAACTGTTCTAGAGCTGTGGCTTTGCGAATTGCGACAGTACAAACATAAATAAGTTGGTTAACATTGGAATGTGGGCTTCCCGACAGTGCAAACAGAATAAGTTGGTTAACGTCGCAATCAGCTGATGCCTCTGATAAACAATTGCCTAGCAGAATTAATCAGTATTCATAATTAGTGGTGTCAGTTCAATAGCTGTTGAGGACCGATATGAGTACTGGTTAACAATATATATGTTATAATGGAATCATTTAGCTCACAGTCCATTGATTATTATCTGGTAACGTTGCCATGTTTTGCTGGAGGGCCCCAGGAATTGCAGATTCTCTAACCTCCTAATACAGTGCAGCCACTGAGATTTGCAAACAAAATGATTGCACAATGGGCTTTGCCGTAATCTATGATGTAACTATCATCAATCACAACATGCTTTTGTGGCTTATGTCTAACCACATCATTTTAAGAGCTAAAAGGGATGATTAAATGGGGTTAAATCAAGATTAGGAAAGACTTTAACATAAACAAAAAGGAGGTAAACAACATGTTGATTGGCCTGGTGTTGAAGTCAGACCCATCAATGACTTGTATTCCTCAGAAAAAAAGTAATCTGGAGGAACTAAACTAGTGCATCAGATGGGCTTAGTTCGGTTGGAAGGGAGCCTGTAGGCCAAAGGAATCCAATTAAGTAATCTTTACTTTAGTTTGTTTCCTTCTTAGATAAGACATTGTTATATAAAACGTTGTGGTTTACAGAGAGGATACATCCTAACATGAAATAACCGTTCTGTAAAGCTGATGGTGGTTTAGTGGCCATGTCCATGAGTTAATAGAACTGATCAGCCATCCAATGCCCACTGGTTTGAAAGTTCTGTAGTCCTATGTGATGGAACAAACTATGATGTCCGTGGCCCTGAGAAGACATTTATATGAGGACACTTTGTGACCTTCAGGACACTATGATCACGAACTGCATGTAGAGGCTGTCCTAAACAGTTGTTGATAAGGCTATGGTACAGGAAAAAATTTCGAGTTCCATGCTGAAAATTATCTCGTACATCTTGCTTTGATTCATTCATAGTTGTTGATAATGAAAATAATTACATAAAGTGAAATAATAAAATATAAAAATCTTACACAGGTGGTGTTTTTATTGGATGAAAAGAGGAGTACTATAGCTGGCCATATGTTGTACCTTGTGACAGAAAGAACATTTGAGCTTAGCTTTGTTTATGCTCCAGATATGCTTTAGCTGTGGTGGCCAATGTTTATAATAGTGCAACAGCTTTTCACTCGTTTTTTAGCACTTTAACCCATCAAAGATGCCAAATTAAGCTACTGTTGTTTCTTTCATTTATTACTATCTATTAACTGCAATTATCAATGCAAGAGAAAACCCTTAAAACATTCACGACATATCTGTAGGGTAGTAAGTGTAACCAGAATCCCCTTGCTTATATAAGAAAACATAGCACTTCACTTGCGTCAAAGTTTTTTCACTTAAGGACTTTATGCATCACCTTAGAATTACAGTGAATCTAGGTATATGGGAGAGATGTATGACATCATATGGAGCCTAATGCCCATCAAGTGACAGACAGGATCTTAAAGTCCATTCTGGCAAGTGGGGTGTGACGTCGAAGGAGTTGATCAATAAAAAAAAAATGATCCAAATACTACTACATCAGTAGGAACTGAACTTCATTCTTTCGCCCGGCATTATCATCTTAGTCCTTGACTTGTAAACTGTCTTAACCATTATGTTGTGTCGTCCATTTATCTAAGCAAAGCTTCGAAATGATCTAAAACTCCTGTCAGGTTTTTTTTTTTTTTTCCAGAAAGTAAAAGTATTCATCCATTCATAGTTGTTAATATATCATATGTAAAACAAAGGGATCCCGCTTACCAAAAAAAAAAGCAAAACTTGTACACATTAAAAATAAATCTGTAAACTCAGACTAATTTTCTCTACATTCCAATTAAAGATAGATCATTTATATCGAAATTAGGATATTCACGAAAAATAAATCTATCATGGTTTGACCTCAAGTAATTATTAATATTCGAATTTAAGACGTTTAAATTTATAATTCATTGCTATTATCAATTAAACTATCCTTTAAATTGTGGTCTCATTCTATTTTGGTTCTTAGCTTTAGGATCAACACGAGCAAGGATTTTTTTGCTTGCTCTGTGTGGGCGGGTTTTCTGAATAAGGCTTAGTACTGGGCCGTAAATTTTCAGGGATACATTATGTGGCTGTAGTTGGGCTTGAAAGAGATAGTCTTTGGGACTAGGGATACATTTTGTGCGCTGTAGTTGGGCTTGATAGATAAAACCAAACCAAAAGCCCACCACTAGGCGTGAAGGTTCCTGTCGCTCTACATCAACTGAACCAACACTTCCTTGCCTCTCTCTCTCTCGTTCAACCCAGTGAACGATCACAGGTACGGAGAACCTCTGCGTTCATAAGCTCCAATTTATCTTGCATTATCTTGGCTCTCTCTCTCTCTGTGTTCGCACACAGTCCCTCTCTCTCTCTCTTGGAAACCGGTAATTTGAATTTTGGCTTTTGATCCCTACCTGATTTGTAGTTTTGGCTTTTGTCGTAAGTTTTAGGGTGAAAATTGAAAAATTGTTTGAAGATCTATTTAACATAAATTGCTCTAAAGACAATCAGTTTCCTTAATGTTGTTTTATGTCGCATTTTAATTAGAATCGCTATGTAAATGTTTTATCTATGCTTTTGCAAGTTGTTGTGATGATTAACTGATTATCCTCAATGAATATCAGCAACTTTTTTTTACAGCTTCACCCAATAAGTCAATTATCCATATGAACTTGCTATAAAAAAAAACATTGATCAAAACTACACTGCCCCTTCGGCTAGGCCAATTTATCTCTCGTTAATATCCTAGTTTCTGTATGGATTAGTTAAGTTGTATGTAAGTTGTTCAGACGCCTCCGTTAAACTAAAAAAAAAAAGAAACTACACTCAAGAATGGAGATGAACACTATTTGTGGCGGTTGATCAATCATTTGTCCTTAAACCATTGCGATTACTCCTATTTGGAAGTGCTGCTTAAATTTTCAATTGTGGTTACGTTTCATTCCAGTTGGTTGAGATGATAATGTTGCTTCATGTTTGTGCTGGTTATTTTCTTTCTATTTAAGTAAAATTTTGCAGGAATTGCAAGGACAATAAACAGTGGTAAGTCTTGTTTTTTGGAGAATCAAACAGGTGTTATATGCAGCCTAGATATCTCATTTTTAGTCCAGAATTTTTAAGAAAAATCAGGATTATGAAGAGCTGTCTGTGTGTGCTTCCCCTAAATGATGACTCTAACTTCCTTTGTGGGATTGGTAGTTTGTTGCAAAAAGTTACTCTGTCAGGTGTAGAAACGAAGTGCAATCCATATCATATGCATGGAACTTCTTTTTTATTGGCTGCTGCAAAATGCAAATGTAAACCCATCTTCTCCGTGGAAGGAGCATGGGGTAATGTCACAATTCTTTGATATCTAATTCTTTGTCATTTTGGAAACTGTTTTAATCACTAGAAACTCGTTTGCAAAACTAGGAACAATGGCCACTACAATGTCCAAGAAACAAGCAAATACAAATGCTGGGGAAGAGGGACAGATAGCTAAAGACAAGGCTGATCCAATTGTTGCTCTCAGCAGACCCCCACCAGTCCCACCTGTACTTGGACCATTGGTTGCTCTCACATTGTTGGAAACATGGTCGAGTTGGGATAGCAGTGATGACTGACTGGTGATCTGAAGCCATTCTTTCGTGGCAGTGACTTGTATGTTGTGACATGTAAAAGAAACTCTGTTAATGTCCTATAATTGCACAGAAGTTTTGAAATGTATAGACGATGTATTTGGTGTGTGAAGCTGGGTGAGTTGCGACTTACAAAAGGAACTTTGTTAGTTTTCTCAATCCTCTACTTGTTGAAAAGCTTTGAAATGTACAGCAATATTCTGAGGGTGCAGCTGAGCAAGCAAGCCATGAAACTCCAAAATTTTATGTAGCATGCTAGAAATGGACTTATACATGGCACCAAAAATATGTTGTAAAACTGTAGTAGCAATTGTAGTATGGCATAGGGACTCCTCAGGAACCCTGCAGCAGCCAGATAGATATTTCATATCATATCAGTATGACTTTTCTATGACTCTCTGAGATTCATATGCTTCGGGCAGTCAACTTACTCTCAGTGGCCTCTGGGAAGGCGTCAAAAACTGAAGTTACGATCTTCAGCAGATTCTGAATGTGGCATAACAAGAACAATTTTATGAATAGATGAAAATGGTAGAAATGAAGTATAATCATTATGCCCACATGTCAGGAAGAGTGTTAGGGAATTACCAGTGCTAAGACTCCCAACTTGAATGGTGATTCAATCACTACTTGAGCTTTCCTGCATATAGTTATCTGTAAGTCATGACATTTATTTATCTAGATGTAATCTAAAGTTCAATAAATTTTTTTGAGTACTTAATGAGTAGTCCGTCTCCTTCTTTTGATAATTCAAAAATGCTGCAGCCTCTGGTGAATGGGACCTGCTTCTTCTTCCACTCTGCGATTACAGGTAGATCCTCCATCAGTATTTATGGATTACTTCATTTATATATTTTATATTGGTGAGAAAATCGTCTTGATGACAAATGTAGAGTCTTTAATTTATCCAACACTACGGCAGATGGAAGTACCCAAGTGCCAATTTACTGCAGCTGCATGTTCATCTCTTTCGCAAACACATCCTAAGTTGAATTGTATATTCTGACCCATGCATGTAATTAGCTGCTCAAAAAAATGCAAGACCTCCTGCCGCGATTGGGAAAATATTAAAAGAACAGAGAGAAAACAAACTTGAGTGGAAAAATATGTAGAAAAGAGATGGTTTGGATCTTAAAGAGATTAAGAGGAGACCTTTTTTCCTTGGAAAGGGCAAGGAAAAGAGAGATCCTCGAAGAAGCAATCGTGGGCAATGAATTTTCCTAGTTTCTTCGAGTTTTTCTCGTTGATGCAGATGTAGAAGTGCTTAATTGTTTCTGATGGGGAGAGTGGACTTAGCTCGTCATTTGAATTGCTCATTGATGAGATGACATGGCCTAATTGACACTGCCTGTATTGTTTATTCATGGCAGTCCTTTTCACATCTGGCTGCCATTGCAGCTTCTTCATTTCTCCATGCTGAAATTGACATTTTTTATTTGAAGCTATGGCACCAAGGGCAGGCCTTGCTGCCACCATGGAGCGTATGCTTTGCCCTGAGGCTTGGACGGAGAACGTCATGGCTTCAGCCATTGGCTCCTTGCAGGATGTATGTGGAGTCGGCTAAATATGTTACGCCTACATTATTGAAGTTAAGGGTCATGGAATACAGGAGAGGGAAAGGGGCATGTTTCTTTGCCTTGGAATGTAAACAAGGAATGACTTTTTGGTTCATAGTTTCTATATGCTTGGAGTTTGATGTTTCGTGCCTTGGCCTTTGATCAAAGAACCTGAAACCCTGGCAGGTACCTTTCCTACTATGAGACATTCGAACACCTCCAAGGCACGTGGACGAATGCTGCGGAGAAAGGATAGTGTAGTTAAATAGGTCTTGTAATTCAATATGAATCTAATGCACTAGATATTTATTACTGCAGCAGGGTTCGGATGCATTTTTAAACTTGTATCCACAGATACTGTTCCATAACTCGAACTTGTCATTAGTCAATATAGGGGAACGTACCTGCCACAAAATATTGGCATGTGGTGTACTTTGGTTTCAAGTGAAGAAAGGGGTTGATGAATATTGAATTGAGAAATCATCGACTTAATGATTTTTGTTCAATTGAAAAATATTGAATTTATTCAATAGTCAGTATAAAAGGAAGGAGATGCTGACCACACCGAGCAGGTTATTATGCTACAAAAATATAGATCGAGTGAGGGTCTCCTACATTACAAATATGTGAGCCCCTGAATTAATATTTTCTGGTGGACCGTGACCTTGGTGCTGGGGCAACCTAGACCACAGACATGAGTGAGTGAAATGCCATTGTTGCTATACTCATTTTAACTTGTCCTCTCTTTGGGATAGGCCTCCTACTATGGTTGCATTTGACAAATGTAGCAGTAGCAGCGTCATTTACCTAGTTCTTCATCTGACTAAGGTAGTGACTACTGTCTTTCCTCCAAATGGTTGAGCTGATAGCTCTACTTTAAACCATTGTAATGGAGTTTATATAGCACTTGAATGACCTGTCTATCTCTCTGTCTCCTTATCTTTTATTCTCTTGGCTGGAAGGTGAAGGATGGCAAATGGTCTCCATGCGGCACACTAGGCAAAGGTTCTTTCCCTAGGCAGGCTAGTGAGGGGACATGCCAGCGAAACTTAATTTTGATCTCGTGCCAACGAAATTGTTTGAGCAGGAAATATTATTTTAGAAATAGATTGGACACAGAATTTCTTTTACCTTTTTTTTTTTTAAATTCATTTTTGACCCAAAAAAGGCAAATGTTGAAATTCATGAGATTGATTTTGGCAACTGATTCATTGTTTGTGCATAAGATGTACAATTTTTGTATGCGGGCTTTTTTCTTTGCTTTTTTATTTTACCCGAGCACAACAAGCACATACATTACACCACCCAAGAAGGGTAGGGGATCCCAACAGATAGGCATCAGGGTGGACCGGTGGAGGGACGGGAGATTAGTCTTCACCTCTGTATCTGCTTTAAAAAAGTTTGTCCATCCTCGATCCATCCCTAGACAAATTTTAATTTCCATCCTTGCGCCCATAGATAAATTTTGATCCTCGTGCCTTTGCCTTCACCACCTCCCTTGCCTTTCTAATTCCTGTAACTTTAAGAAAAAAAATTGAAAACAAATCATAGTAATTAAAATAAAAGTTGTATCACTATATGTCTGTATCATATGAAATAGTCAAAATTAAATATAAAAAAATAAGTTAACATAATTTATATAATAAAACAACTAAGTTATTGAAATTTTATCTCCAATACATTTTTCCCTCCAAATCCATCCCATCCTCCTTCACCTCAGCCGCGTCACTCCTCCATTAGAAACCATTCTTTTTTTTTTTTTCTCTCACTTTGTACTCTCTCTCTCTCTCTCTCCACCGCCACAACACTCGGAATAACAAGACTAAACCTACTGGCATATGATTTAAGAAGACCAACTAATTTAAGTAATAAATTAACTCTAATTAAGTAATATCCTATTTGGACTAGGATTAATTAAAAAATAATAATAATAATATTAAAATAACTAACTAATGAGAATTGTCCATTCAAAAAAAATTTAGTAATTAAAGGACACTTCATAATAACAAGACTAAATTACTCTTAATGAAGTGGTTACTCTTAACTAAAATAAATTTGAATATTAAAACTCATAAATTTTAGATTTTTCTCACATTTGAACTCTTTCTCTCTCTCTCTCTCTCTCTCACGGAATTTATTATCACTTCCTATTATCACTATATTATCAAACCCCCATTATCATAATATCTCTAGACAATTTAGTTAGTTTGGAAATCCTTAGCCATGTAGGATTTTACCCGCATGGTATTCCCATTTTTCCCGAATTCACTATCATCCCTACCACCAGAGGAAATATGATTTGACCTGTGGCGAAGATAGGGTAGCATGGGCATCAACCACTGAACTATCCTCTTGTTCACGTTGAACTCAGACTATTCACGTGATTTTTATTTGTAAACCAAATATCGCACACAATTTTTGTAAAGGAATAGTTTTTTGGTTTTCGGTATATAAACTGAAATGTTTTATTGATAGAGATATGCAGCTCAATTACAAGGGGAAAATTGACAATAATATGCAGAAAAAAAACTAGAATGTCTTAACAAATATAACTGCAAGACATCGAAGCACTTGTTGCTTTGTCAACCTCTTCTTAAAACAACTACAGAGCAGGAGTTCCAATCCAGGATTTTACCAATTTGTTGTGTTCTTCACCAACAGTACCCAAATATGGAGAGAGTTGAAGGTTTTGTTATCCAAACAATTCTGAAACTAGGGACTGGTTTCCAGGTTTGGGGGTAGGTGATGAGGATAAGGAGTTTATATGAATGTATGGTAAGGATTATGGAGTTTAATTAATAGTTCGACCTATTGCGATTCAATTAAGCACAACTGGACTAGCTTTTAGTAAAGCAGCCTCATATAAGGTGTGTTTGGTAGAGATGATGACCCCATGAAATTAGAGGGGACCTTACTTTGGATCATCATGTAGCTGGCATACAATCAAAAATCAAGTAAGACCATCATAAAATATTTTGCTTTATGCATATTGCACGATGCGGGGCATGGGAATGTGTGTGTGTGTGTGTGTGTGTGTGTGTGAGAGAGAGAGAGAGAGAGAGAGAATGGCTGCTCAGAAGCTTGTACCAATTGTATTTAAATAAGAAATCTAGCTGGCAAAATTTAAATCAAATCTTACCAGGAGATCATTTGTGTTTAGTCATGGTCCCCATCCACATATCTACTATAGGAAAACCAAAAACCAGCCCCCAGAGTCCAGACCAAGGCTTCCATTTACTTGCAAACCCACACGTGGTCATGTTTAGAAAAGCTCAAAACCATTCTGCAGATTAACCTATGAATACCCTATCTAACAATCAGTCAACAAATCATTCATGCATTCAATTGCCTCCAATTGGGGTGAAGGGAATCACTTAAGCCAGAGTCCTGCTGGCATGCCCCCCAACCCCCACTAATCAGAAACCAAAAGTTTCATGATCTCTCTCTCTCTCACTATCAGATAGAACTTTCCTCAGCCCCTGGTATTATAGAGGTTGCTTTTGTGCTATATAAACTCCCAAAGGACTCAAAGGAAACAGCTCCAGTCATATATCCACATCTTCTGTCTGATCAAAACAGAAAAAAAGAAGTGATTTGCTAAGTTTGAAACATGAACTACAAGATTAGTGATGTCCCATTAGCAGCAGCACAGGGTGAAAGTTTCAGGAGCAGAAGGCCACTGCCAAAGAGGGGGCATATAAAATCAAGGATAGCAGCCAATGCTTTCCATTCCATTGTTTCTCTGCTCTTGAGAGCCTCTTCACACCACTACCAATCCAGCAGGAAAACCTAACTGACAGAGATCAAAGCCACCAGTAATCATAAATTCATGTATGACAGTTGCCGCACTTTGTTCTTTCTTTTTTTTCTTGTAATTTCAGCTTGAATGCATTAATTTTAGTCAGGACAATTGTGGAGGAGTTCAATTTAGATAAATGTTGCACTTGCCTATCCATATCAATATCAGAAGTATGTGCATACTTACCATGATAGCCAAGATGCACTAGAACTACTTTACTGTGGTTTCTGGGAAAAAAACTATTTTACGTTTTGTCAGCTACAAGGGTACATAAAGCCCTAGCAAGCATGAGAAAATAGACACAGAAACTGATCCAATCACATGAGGGACACAGGAACTTGCACGGCAAAGTTAATTACACAAAACAAATAAAGGTTTTAAACAATTGATACTATACCCAATTTGGAAATTATCTTTCAGAGGCATTAATTCCATGTGTATTCTGATTTGTTGCCTGAAGTGGCATAGTATCATTGAGGTACGAACTACATTTTAAACAAATGCTAATGAACAGAAGTTGTAAGCAAACATTTAAAGGCAATACGACTTTAAATAACAGAGCAGGGAAAAAAATTGTCACCACGTGTTATGCTGTTACCTCAGCTACTGCCATGATAGAATTACAAAATGTGTGAACCGAAGTCCAGATTGTAGTCACAAGGTTGCACCACGGAGCCCATGCAACTTATGATCACAGCTGATAAATTAATAATATAAAGGAGTGTACTCATGCCATGACCTGAAGTCCAAATTGTAGCGTTTATTCTTGGCTGGGTTTCTCTGCTGATTTAAAGCAAAGAACAACACAAGAATAAATTATATCTTCCAAAAGTTTTCATTTTTTATACGAGACTGCAACATTAATACACAGGACACAACTGCTAGAATCATTTCTTTGAACCAACAAAATCTTCACATACTCAAGGCTCCTATTTTATAAACCATCAGTTTCTGTAATTTGCTTTTTTGTCCTGTACATGCCTGTTGGCATTGTGAGTAGATAGCCCAGTTCTATCTAAACTCAGTTGATCACAAGATTCAACGGAGATCACAGTCATGCCTCACCTGTCTTTAATTCAATCAGTTTTGTGAAGCTAACTCCTACAGGTTAAATTGTACATGTCAATAGAAACAAAAACTGAACCGGATTGGGACAATATCCACACTTAATGGATCCCAGACATAACTGATCCAAGAATCCCCACCATTCGCACCCTTCTCTACATCCGCAACCCACCATCCCAAGAAAAAAAATGAGGGTAGGGTTCTTGATGCAATCATATCAAAGTGAAGTCCAAGCTTCCTTTTCATAGACTTAATGAAAAAGTGCCATTTGGTCTGCATCAGGCAATTCTAGCATCTGCTTATTCAAACTTTTCAGCTTCGAATAAACTTCTTTACTCTCAGGATGCGATGCATCGCCAGCGAAAAAGTAATACATGTATCCCCTAACTTGAATCCAACTAGAACCAGGTTCCTTGCAAACTATTTCTTGTTTCATTTTCCTTCTCAATTCTCTGACTGCATTCCACATACCAGCGGAAGCATAAAGATTGGAGAGAAGAACAAAAGCTGAGTCATTTTCGGGCTGCAGCTCAAAAAGATTTCTAGCTGCAACTTTCCCTAGATCAATGTTTCCATGGATGTTGCAGGCTGATAAAAGAATCTGCCATATTCGAGCATCAGGGCAAATAGGCATTTGATCAATAGTTATCTTTGCATCTTCCAGGCGTCCAACTCGACCAAGGACATCAACTACACAGGCATAGTGTTCTAAACATGGGATCAATCCATGAAGTTTAAACATAGAATTTAAATGATGGTGTGCTTCGTTCACTAACCCTGCATGACAACAAGAACTAAGAACTCCAATATAAGTTATCTCATCAGGTTTCATGCCAAATTCTTGCATCCTGCTGAACAGATCAAAGACACCATGATGGTGACCAGATTGAGCATATCCCATCATCATGGCATTCCAAGCAGCCAAATTGTTTTCAGCTATATTCCGAAAAGCGTTATCTGCATCATCTATGCTCCCACACTTGCAATAAATGTCAACAATAGCACTTCCAATGAAGCTATCCATATCAATACCATATTTAAGAGCCAAAGAATGTATGGTCCTTGCTTGACCTAAATCTGTTAGAACTCCACAAGCTTTGAGAGCTATGCTGAAAGTTACGCTGTCAACTTCAAGGGACATGTTCAATCTGGTTTGGAACAATTTTAAAACATCAGCATGATAACCGGCATCAGCAAATGCAGCTGCCATTGCATTAAGATGAACCTTGTCCACTTTATCAATCTCATTGAACACCCTTTTTGATTCGTCAATTCTATTGCATTTACCATATGCTGTTATTAGGCAAGACAGCATGCAATCATCTGATAGGAATCTTAATTTGACCATTAGTGCATGTATCTGCATTGCTTGTTCCAGAGAATTAGAGTTCGAGATTACTTCCAACATGCTTGCCAGAGTATATTCATTAGGTTGCAGCAAAATATCACGCATCTGAGAGAACATTGCAAAAGCCTGACCAGCAAGTCCATTCTCAGAATAGCCAGAAATCATTGAATTCCAAGAAACAGAATCTTGAAAATTCATCTCATCAAACACACGTCTGGCATCACCCATCTGCCCGGTTTTCCCATACAAAGATATCACTGCATTGGAAACAGAAACCACAGACAAATACCCAGCCTTGTAAATAAGAGAATGAATTTGTTTCCCTAGTTTCAACATACTTGGACCTCCCATGGCAGACAAAATTTTGATTATTGTGTACTCATTTACTTCAAAACCTTTCGACCAACAAAATATAAAGAGTTCCACAGCTTCCACACAATCGTAGGCCACACCAATCCGCTCTGTCCAAGATACAACATCTGGATTAGGAATTTCATCGAACATATTTACAGCATCAATATTACGACCACACCTACCATACATATTCATGACTGCATTGTTCAAGTGAGTTGAACATCCAGTTAAAAATCCCATCTTTACACCCAAACCATGAATGAGTTCACCCTCTTTCACATCAAGCACTGCACCAAGCACACCAGTCAAGCTAAACTCATTCAATTCCACACCCAAACCCCTCATTCCCATAAAAACCTCCCTGGCCTTTTCAAATTCGTCATACCATACATACCCATTAATCATAGCTGTCCAAACCACGGAATCCAAAGCCAAAGACTCCTCAAAACACTTTTCAGAACTCTCCATAAACCCCATTTTCGAATAGTTCTCAACAAGTCCACTAACCAAGAAAACACCAGATACTAGCCCCATTTTAATTGAAACTCCATGGGCGATCTCAGTCTGTTGTAAACTATCACAAGCTCTGATCAAAGAACTAAGTGTATATACATCAGGCTTGAGACCCAATTGTATCAAATAGTTAAAGAGCTCGAATACGGGTTTGGATTGGCTAAAACGGGCATACCCAGAAATGAGAGAATTGAAAACGACGACGTCTGGGCGGTGGGTGTCATGGAGGAGTTGGTTGGCGCTTGAGAAGTCGCCGGAGATAGAGAAATGATTGATGAGAGAGGCGGAGAGGAATGGGTCGAGATTGAAGCCCGATTTGACGAAGAGTGCATAAATTGTGTCTATGAGTTGTGGTGTGTGAACAGAGAGTGAGGCTCTGAGCGCTTGTCGGTAGAGGTTTTGACGTATTAAGGTTCTGATGGTGAGGAAGGTAGAGGAGGAGAGAGAGGTGACGAATCTCTTCATGCATGTTGAGAATTTTAAAGCTGTGGTTTTCAGAGTGTCGCTCGAAGTTATAGCTCGGAATCCGTAATTCAATTCAGAGTTTAAAGCAAACAGAATTTCTCTGCTCTCTGCTAGTTAAAGTTCCGACTCCTTCCCTTTAATGGTGATACCCTCCTTGAGCCACCCGCACCCTCTGTAAAACCCAAACCATTCCACCTAGGCCTGTAATGGTGTGATGGTCTCTCACTTGTTTATTTGTCCTTAAATTTTGTGATTTTTCATATAATGACATTTTATAATTAATATTGCATATGCATGAAGTCAAAGAGTAATAAAATTGATAAATAATAAATATATTTATATTTATACCTAAAATTAAATCACAAACATAAAGAATAGATAAATAAATTTAAGCTCTATAGTGAGAGTTGAGAGGTGGTGGACAACAGTGGTGGTGATAAGAGACGATTATAGTTGTGGTGGGTGATAATGACTGTACTGACGGCAAGGAGGACAGTGATGGTTGTGGTGGAGGCGACAACGATGGTGTTGGTGGTGATTGCAGTGGTGGGGGTGGTATTGGTGGCAACGGCAATGGTAGTAGTGGCGATGGTGGCAGTGGTGGTGGTGGTGGTGGTAGAGGTAGTGGTGGGGCAGTTTCAAACACTATTTTTTAAAAAAAATATTTATGATAAATAATTTCTAATAATACTTTTAAAAAGTTACTTTAAACACACTATTAGATACCTATTTTTCTTATTAAATTTAGTATGTTAATATTAGTCGTTAGATTAACTTTAAAATAAAATTTAAAGTGATCTCAACAACGAATAGCAAAAGTCATTTTGTTTATCTTTTGAAATTTGAATTGTAAGCTACTTTATTATATAGATATTACAAACCAAAAAAGAAAAATACAAGTTATAAATTTAACGATCCTGAGTTTAAATTTTAGGAATTTATTGGGCTCAGGCCATACAAAATTTTATATCTCATAAACATTTTAGTCTTAACGTGAATAATCTGCATTTGATCAGAACGAAGAAGTAATTAGTTGAGGTGCGCATAAGTTGGTTCGCACAACCTTGACCATTAATTTTTTTTTTTTTTTTTACAATGATTGGATAATATTCGTGAATAAGGATGACAGTGGACCAAAGTAGAGCGAGAGGAGTAATCTCCACTCCGTACTCACTTTAAAAATATTTGTTCACCCCTAATCTACACCCTTATTAGCAGGAATATTTTCAATTTTCATCCCTGCTTTGCAAATAAATTTTGATCTTCATTTTCGTCCTCGTCTCCGTCCTTGCCTATAACAATTAATTTCAATAATTTAAAAAAAAAATTAAAAAAATCATAATACCTCACAAATCTATATAATAAAGTAACTAAATTTCTTTGTCTTGAACTTTTTACAGCTCAGATCATTTTCTAACTTTTGATCCAACGATCAAATTTCTTTCTCCAAAATAATTTACTTCTAATAATTTCAACAAGCGTGTCATTTCATAACTCTAAAGAGTTATCACTCTAAAGACTTATCTCCACCTCCCCATATCTATACATTTCTCGCTCAATTCCATAATTATACGTCTGCCTATCAGTTTCAGGATTCCAAAGCGTTATCCCTCTCTGTTTATTGTCTATAGTTTGGGAATAGTTTCTTGCGGACAATGGTGGATGTTTTTGTGAAGTACATGAAAAGGGTAGCTTTGCCGAGTTATCAATCAGGCACATCTCGATAGTGTGTTGATTCAGCCTGCACAAGTCCCTAGCTTTGTTATCATCCATGGTGTGTATATAAAAACTCATTGTATTCATATTACTATTCCAAAATTGGAAGCATGGTCCATAAAACATTTTTCTACCCTTATTTTCAATCAACTTATTTGGAGTTTCCTGCATATAAGGAAACTTTGGTAGGCCTCTTCTTGAGTAATATTGGTGAACAACCTTCCCACTTTGTCGTTATGTGGTTAGATGATTAATTATATTATGGGTTTAATTTAGTTATTCTTTTGTTTAGTTTGTGTATTACAGGTTTTGTATTTAATGACAAAAATGCTTAAAGATTTACTTCAATAAAAAAACTTAAATCGTGAGTCTATCAATGCAACAAAAATTGGTACACAAAGATTGGTTTTGTACATCTTTTATTCTTTCTATTGAGAGTTTCTTACTACTTGTTGTTAAGTAGTCTTTATAATTGTTGAATTCTTTTGGCATTTTCTTAGGAGGCAATGGTAGTACCAGTACCATTGTGGCCAAATTATGTTAATATTTACTTAGTAATCTATTGTATGTGTTTTCAATGTGTGCCAGTCAGTTAGATAACCCACTGAAATGGGTGGTTTAAAAATTAGAAAATCTAGTCGGATTATATAGCATGAATTTCTTTGAAATATTTGTTGTGTCCCCTATTTTATTGGTAACCAATATTGTTTATAATTTTAAAGTTCTTTTAGTTATTTTTGATTGAGATTAAAGGCAGAATGAAATGGTTTGAAAGTAATGAATGAATGGTTAATGAGTTGTAGTTATTCAAATAGTTCCCGAATAGGTGTAGAAAATAAGTAACTACCTCATTTCCCTAATTCTATCTTGAACTTCAATTCTGAAATTTTGCATTGGATGGTCTTTCTAAGCCTATTTCATGAGTTAAAATATGAGTTTATAAAGGTTTTGTCAATGTTACAGTATTTATTTTGTCACTTGCCTATTATTTTATAGTGTCATTTATTGTGAATAAAAAATGACAGACATTTTTTTCTAATTGGCTATCTTTATTTTGTGTTACGCACAGACATTAGCTAGGATATTGACCAGCATGATGAATGTTGATCCTACTATGTATTGTTAATATGATTAATTCGAGTTTGGATTGGTTGTTCACTTTTTGATAATTATGTTTGCAGTGGTAAGTATGAGAAAAACAACATTAAATTGAAAAAAAATGAATTGGTTTGGTTTGGGATCATGAAATTAGAGTTGATTCATCATCGATCTTGGGAGAAGAAAAAAAATCAAGTGTGATAAGCTCATATTTACGTTTATTGGAAAAGACTAATCTCTAATTTTGTTATATGATGTTTTTTAAATATCTTTGGGCATCAAAATTGAAAATATATATATGTGGCACTATTTAATTCACTAATCTACTTATGCTTTTAAATTAGATGAATTTGTAGAGATGTTTGCTTATCAAGTTTGATTAATTGATTGTGGTTTTTTGGATGGTGTGTATTTACAGCACGAGAATAATATTTGCAAGGTAACCAAGAAAAAAAAAGAAACAGACAAACTTTGTTGCGAAAAAGCCTAAGCGAAATCCTAAGCAGAATTCTCACATAGAAGTTTCAAATGAATGCTGTTTTCTCTTTGAAAGTTTTTTTCATTAGAATTCTCACACGTTTTTATTCTTACGTAACTTTTGTTTCCCAACTGTAAGATTTTAGGAAGTTGAATAGTATTTGGTGCAATTGGATTTTGGTGGGTGGTACTATGGGTTGCAATCGAGTCCTGTTGTGTCGGATTCGTGTCATGTTGAACATTAGTCAATCCATACCCAACCCATTTAACTATTCGTGTCGTGTCGAGTTGATCTGTTTATTTTCGTGTCGTGTTTGTTCATATTCGTGTTGACCTACATAAACTTTGAATAAAAAATTTAACACTAAGATTTTATTTTCACTTAGTTGAATATCTCCTCATACTTTTTCTACAAACTAAAAATTAAATTAATAATAATAATAACAACAATAATGAGTAATAGTATCTTTTTTATACAATAATTATGTCAATACTTGATAAACAATTACACATAATTAATATTTTATTTATATAATACTAATTAAATATGTTAATTGTATACCATACAACCAAATTAAACATCAGAAGTAATGAAAAAAATAAGTCATCAAAACATGAAAACTCATATATGCAACAAAAAGGTCAAGTCAATCTCTTTCGAATTAAAAACTTCGTGTTGACGGGTCAATTCGTGTTAAACGGGTTGAACCCGAACACAACCCATTAACACTTCGTGTTGACGGGTCGTGTCAAAAAATTAGTCAACCCAAACCCATTTATTAGTATCGTGTTTCGTATCGGATTATCGTGTCATATCAAAAATTGTCACCCCTAGGTGGTACTTAGAATAATATATTTGTCACTTCTTAGAAAATCAAGTATTTAGAATAATAATAACACCAAAGAACAAAATCATTCTTTTTCTGTGAAAACTTTTGTATAGGATGGTATTTTAGTTAGAGGTAAGATGAAAAGTGAAATCAAAACTAGGACGCGTTGTTGTGCACGTGCATTAATTTTTCAATGATTAAAAATGATTTTAATTTTATTATCTTTAAAAAAATTGAAATTTTGTCAAAGTTCTTTAAAATATTAGTGAGTCATATTGATTTTTGAAAATGTGTTATTCATCGTCTTCATGCATGGGTAAATGTTTGCAAATTTTTTAAGAATTATATAATATCTTCAAATACGGACAATTACTAATAGATTTATAAGAATGATGAAAACTTAGTGAGGCAAGGTGGAGGTGGGAGGATGAGTTT